TCTTTCCCTTATTTTCACTCATACCTCTTTAATTTTTCTTCACCCCCACGTATTTTGGTAAGTAATTTTAAATTTTTTTAGTTTTATATTATTCTTTTTCCTTTTCTCTTTCAATTTTCTCACTGATTTCACTATCTGCATAGTACTTTAGAATAGTGAAAATGTTTTTTTCATAACACTAAACTTAATGTTAAGGTTTTTGGAGGGGTGAAATGAAAGAAAATGTTGGAAGAAAAAATGTCTATCTAGTTTGATAGAAATTTTCGGGGAAGTTACACGTATTTACAATGTTGTCGCCTACTAGTTCTATGATTTGGGTATGTGAAAAAGTGAAAGAGGTGAGAAAATAAGAGAGTAATATAAAAATTGAGAGTACTAAAACTACTTACTGAAATAGGTGAAGATTTAAATGAAGACTAGATAATGCATGTGAAAACTGGAAAAGAGAAAGAAGGAGATGTGTTAAAAGAAAAAATAGTAAATTGAAAGTTAAAGATGTAAAATTAAAAATTTAAAGAATAAAAAAAATTATAAATATTTTAAATTTTTTTTGAGAAAAGGAGGTATACTTATAAATAAAAAAAAAGAAAAAAAAGAGGTATATATATCATTAGCCAAAAACTAATGTTTGTATTTCTAAGATGGCAGGCAGCCTTATGGGCTTTGGGAATGCTGGTTTGGGTTTCTTGTGGGCTTTTATGGTAATGCGGGACAGTTACCATTCTCGCCTCCACCATCTCCAATGCTTGCTTAGTTCTGTATTTTATTTTTGTGGGTCCAATAATGTTTATGTAAGTTTAATAATTGTTTTTTATTAAATTTCACAATAATGTAAATGGGTTCTAAAATTAGTCTGATAATATTGGTGACAATGGTAGTAATGAAAACAGTAACAATAATAATAACAATATTAATAACAATATTAATAATGATGATGACGATAATATTAGTGATATAGTGACAATGTAGAAAAGATGATGGTAGTGCAATAATAATAATAATGTGACAACAATTTAATGGAAGTAGAGGTGGAAGTGATTGTATATAATTCAATATACTTTTTTAAAAATTTATATAAAGAAAACTTAAAATCATAGGAATTTAATTGGGGTTGTCCGCAAAAGTTGTGTGAAAAAAAAATAGGAGGTTAGAAGCTTTACGGTCTATAGTTATATAAAATATAAGAATAGTATAAATAATATCTGCTGGAATAGCTCAGTTGGTTAGAGCGTGTGGCTGTTAACCACAAGGTCGGAGGTTCAAGCCCTCCTTCTAGCGGTTTTGAAAATATGAATTTCCTTTTGGATTGAAGATATCCTGTATAAATTAAAAGGATATGTGAGTTGTGATGCAGAAAGCTTTGTTATATTATATGTATTTAGTTTTTTGGTCAAACATATCCTCTAGTGTGTGAGTTACAAGCATGGGAAGCGTGGTGGAAAGCAGAGAGTGGTACTTGGCTTCGTATTCCCCCGAGGGTGTTCCAAACTCCGATAATCTAAAACTCCGCAGCCTCAGTCTCTCACTTGACTCTCATTCAATCCCGGAAGGCCACGTGTCCCTGGAGATTGTCTTGATCTCCGTAGATCCATACCTTCGCACGAGACTCACGGGCACCCTGGACGGTCTCTACATCGCGCAATATGAGGTGAATGAGGTAATTACAGCATTTGCAGTGGGTAAGGTAATAGGATCCAGAGAGAGCAAGTACTCGGAAGGGGATGTGGTTTTGGTTCCATCTGCGCCACTGGCTGAGTACTGCATCATACCCTCTTCAACTATAGCTCGTAAAATCCACGCTGCTACTGGAATTTCGTTGCCCCATTACCTAAGCGCCTTAGGTATTATTATATTATATTATATTATATGGTTAATTAAGAATAAGAAGAATTGATTGTATGTATGGTGATGGTGCACGTGCACTGCAGGGGTACCGGGTTTTGCGGCATGGGTGGGGATCGTGGTGCTGGGAGACCCTAAGCCTGGTTCCAATGTCTTCATATCTGCTGCCTCCGGTGCGGTTGGTACAATTGCTGGCCAATTAGCCAAGATCCGAGGCTGCAGAGTCATCGGAAGTACTGGCTCCGACCAAAAGGTCACTTTCCCTAACATCTTTTTAACTTTCATCATCTTACACATCTATAGCTCAAAACGAAATCACCCAACAAATATCTTTATTCATTTTTTTCTCCTTTTATTTTACCATACCATACTTCTTTTCTACATTTTAAAAATAAAATAAAGAAAAATGCTAATGGGTTTTTTTGTTACAAAATATTATCTTTCAGATATTTTGCTGGGATAGTGTTATTTAAAAAACATTATTTCTCATACTTTTGAGTCAGTAGTCAACATCGTGTTTCTCTTTTTATCTGTTCTCACCTTTCCCGTCTTAGCATATGTGGTGCTGCATAACTCAGATTCCAATCAAGTAATGGTCAATGAAAAAGCTACTTATCAATTAAAAGGAGTATTAATTAGAACGACCGTAATTTTATAAGCAATGTTGTAAAATTGGATGCCAACTTCAACTTTAATTAAACTGTACCATCTCGGCTTATCCTGACACATACTTTCGGCCCATTTCCGATGTGATTCAAAGTGGAAGTTGCTTTAACCTTTTCGCCTCATAGGCTCAAGGCTGGAAGGTAAGTGTACTCTCTCGGTCAATTTTCGATCTGCTTTCTTTCACAGGTTGTAATCCTGGTCGGTATCCGACCTTACCCTCTCCTTGGCGATAGGCCGACTACGACCTTGGCCGACTCTTTTTCTTCGGGTCACTCGGTCTACGTCCGAGCTGGCATTTTGGCGTGAACCAGCTCGGCCCCATCCCGATTCACCTAGCCTATAGGATCCCACTCGGCCAATACCCGACCAGTCCCTCAGTATGGGTCGGGTCGGTCAGGACCTGATGTATAGTCCCCGCGTTCACCAAATATCTTCCAAATAATAACGGTTAAGGAAATCCCCGCGTTCACGGGGCCCATGAGGCCCATGAACAAGAAAGTATAAGACCCAAAACCCTAAGGCTAAGAAGGCAGATTACACTTTTGAATGTTCTGGCTTTGAGGCTTGACCTAGGAAAAAACCCTAGTCCACCCTTTGGCCGGAACATTTTGGCGCCCACCGTGGGGCTACGGTAAAACTTTTCCTGCGCCCCAAATCACTTAGAAGAACCTGCACTTTACCATGGCGAGAGGCGGCACATTGAACAACAACTCACAACCCCCTACCATGGAGGAGATGATGGCCATGATCAATGACTTAAGGGAGGAGAATGCGCGATCCAGGGAGAGAGAGGAGACCATCCAACGAGAAAACGAGGAGATCAGGAGACGAGCGGATGAGATGCAGGCCATGATAACGGTCAGCACCAGGACAGTGGAGGAAGATGTCATGATGGAAGTCCCTAGGGATTTTCGACCTTTCTCGGAAGCCATAGAGGCCGAGATCATCCCCAGGGATCATCGGGTACCCCAAGTCGAGCCTTTTGATGGAACACAGGATCCCAGTCAGCACTTGACGGATTTCAGAGCTCAAATGTTGATTTATGGAGGGAGTATGGAAGTCCGCTGCAAATTGTTCATGGGCACGCTCAAAAAGGCAGCACTTGATTGGTTTAGTAGTCTCCCTGACCGATTCATCATCGACTTCGATATCTTCAGTCGGCTCTTCATGGCACAGTTTGCCGCTAACAAGAAGAAGCCACCGATTACGTCGGACCTGTTTGATCTCAAGCAGTAACGGGAGGAGTCGTTGAAAGATTTTCTGCAAAGGTTCAATGAGGTCGCCATGAGGATAGCATCCTTGGATGAAAGGATGGCAGTCATCGCGTTCTAAAAGGGTTTAAGGTCGGGGGCTTTCGACATCGCGCTGGAAGGAGCGAATTGTCAAACGATGTCGGAGGTAAGAGCTTTTGCCCTGAGTCACATCAAGACGGAGGAAGAACAAATTAACAAAAGGGCTGCTGAAAATCGAGAGGCAGGGGGTAGCAATAAGGAGAGCATTAAACATCTTCGATCGCGTTCAGATTGGAATAAGCGACGTGATCACTATAATATGAAGGAAGGCAATTACCGGCAGGCCGATCGGGGCGGTCGGCCAAGGGGCGAGTGGACACAAGCCAATAACGAAGAGAAGTTCACTCCACTCAACGTCCCTAGGAGGCAGATACTCCATGATGTCAACAACGCAACATTGTTCGAGTTCCCAGCAGCGACGGAGTGCCAGTTGGGTCCCTTCAAGACTGACTGGTGTGAGTTTCACAAGACTCACGGGCATTCTACGAAAAACTATTTCGTCCTTGGAAGACAGATCGAACGCTTGATCAAAGAGGGACGTCTGAAAAAGTTTGTGGTAAGAAAACCGGAAGAAGACTCATCGGATAGGCGACATAGGCATGTACAGGACGACACGAGGAGGGATAGGCATAGAGAGAGGACTCCCCCCAAGGACACTCCAGCAAAGTCATCGGAGGTCCATCATCAAGAAATTCATGGGGATTTCAACACAGTGGCAGGAGGATTTGCAGGAGGAGGAGTCACCTCGGTTGCTCGAAAAAGGTACACTCGTTCCGTCCTGTCCATGTCAAAAATCCGCCAACCATCCCAACCCACGATTTCCTTCTCGGATGCCGACTATGAAGGGGTAGCTCCTCACGAGGATGATCCTATCGTCATTTCGACGATAGTGATGGGCTATAATGTGAAGCGTGTTTTGGTCGACCAGGGGAGCTCGGTCGACATCCTCTTTTGGGAAGCTTTTGTGGGAATGAAAATCCCCAACGACCGACTAGTACCCTACACGGGAACCCCAGTAGGTTTTGCGGGAGACCAGGTTATGGCTAGAGGGTATGCCGATTTAGAAACAACCTTAGGACAGGGTTCGCAGATGAAAACGGTAACTATCCGATATTTAGTGGTGAATGCTCAGTGGTCCTACAATATACTTATCGACCGACCTACGCTCAACAAACTGGGAGCCATAGTGTCAACATCACATCTGAAGGTGAAGTATCCATTACCGAATGGGGATGTCAGGGTCCTCAAAGTAGATCAAGAGGTCGCCCGAAAGTGTTACGAGGACAGTCTGAAGGCAAGAAGGCGTTTATATACCGCTCCAGCTAAGAAACACATCCATTTCGTCGAACTGGATCCTAGAATGGGTCAGTTCGATCACAGACCCGCCCCCGCGGAGGATGTCAAGGAAGTGGAGGTGATGGAAGGGAGAAATGTAAAGATAGGTACTTCTTTAACTCCCGAGGACGAAGAAAGGCTGGTAAGGGTTCTAAACGAAAATGTGTCGACATTTGCATGGCATTCCAGCGACATGCCTGACATTGATCCAGATTTCTTGTGCCACAAACTTGCCATAGACCTTAGTGCGAAGGCGGTGATCCAGAAGAGAAGGAAGTTCGGCGAGGAAAAGCGAAGGGCCATTGCGGAAGAGACACAAAAGTTGGTAAAGGCAGGACATGTCCGAGAAATCCAGTACCCAACCTGGTTGGCAAACGTAGTCATGGTGCGCAAGAGTAACAGAAAATGGAGGATGTATACGGACTTCACTGACCTGAATAAGGCCTACCCAAAGGACTCGTACCCGCTACCAAACATAGATTGCCTGGTGGATGGAGCGTCGGGGTACGAGTTGCTGAGCTTTATGGATGCTTACTCGGGATACAATCAGATTTGAATGCATCCAGCAGATGAGGACAAGACAGCCTTCATAGCAGATCAAGCCAACTTCTGCTACAGGGTTATGTCGTTCGGTCTAAAGAACGCGGGGGCGACTTATCAGCGACTGATGGACAAGGTTCTCGTGAATCAACTAGGTCGGGGTCCAAGCGGGAAAATTCCTCGGTTTCCTACTGACTCATCGTGGCATTGAAGCAAACCCTGACAAGTGCTCGGCCATCATCAACATGAGGAGTCCATCCACAGTGAAGGAAGTCCAGCAACTCACGGGAAGAATGGCTTCTCTGTCCCGATTCTTGTCAAGGGCAGCTGATAAGGCGTTACCGCTTTTTCAATGTTTAAAGAAGAACGATCGTTTCACCTGGACGACCGAGTGCGAAGAAGCTTTCACGGAACTAAAAAGGTCACTTGCATCGCCGCCGATTTTGACAAAACCACGTCCGAACATCCCCTTGTTGATCTACATATCGGCATCCGACCAAGCTGTTAGTGCGGTCCTTGTACAAGAGCAGGAGGCTTCTCAAGTTCCTATTTACTTCGTGAGTAGGGTCTTACTAGAAGTGGAGACGAGGTATCAAAAGATTGAAAAGTTGGCTCTTGTAATATTAGTCACCGCAAGGAAATTGAGACACTACTTTCAGAGCTATGAAGTAGTAGTTCGAACCGACCACCCGATCCGGCAAGTCTTACAGAAGCCAGACCTGACAAGAAGAATGATGAAGTGGTCGGTTGAGCTATCAGAATTCTCCATCAAGTATGAACCGAGAGGAGCAATCAAGGCTCAAGCTTTGGCTGACTTCTTGATGGAACTGAATCCCCCTATTGAGGCGGAGAGTGTCGGAGACACCTAATGGATTCTATCAGTAGACGGTACTTCGAATCTCGGAGGAAGTGGAGCGGGAATTGTCTTGGAAGGTCCGGGGGGCATATTGTTGGAACAGTCACTACGCTTCGAGTTCCGGGCGAGCAATAATTAGGCAGAATACGAGGCACTGTTGGCAGGAATGGTTTTGGCAAAGGAGATGGGGGCGACGAGCTTGTCAGCTAGAAGCGATTCCAAGTTGATCACCGGACAAGTAGTTGGGACCTTCCAGGCGAAGGATCCTTAATTAGCCAAGTACTTGGAAAAGGTCAAACTCCTATCGGAAAATTTTTTAGAGTTCACACTTAACCACGTACCACGAGAGCAAAATTTGCGGGCCGATCTGCTCTCCTAGCTTGCAAGCACAAAGAAGCCAGGAGCCACTCGGTCGGTTATCCAAGAAACCTTAGCGCAGCCAAGTATTAATGAGCCACAGGGGAGTGTTCTTTTCATCCAAGAAGAGCTCGATTCATGGATGGGACCATACATCGCATACTTGACTCGGGGAGTGTTGCCAGAGGATAAGAAGGAGGCGTCACT